TCTGTTTTGTATACACGAGGCAGGTGAACCTACAACGACAGAGGTGCCATTACAGGACTGACAGTATCCAGCTGGGTCTCCGGGGTGGTCAGGTCAGGGCCTGTGATCACAGGCCGCTGCCAAAACACCAACAAACCTCATCAGAGCATGTGGTAAATGTGTCACAGCCGTCTCTCCAGTAACGTGGGTGAATGGAGCCTTTGAAATGCAGATTTATTCCACACATTAGGACGCACTCGCAGCTGATTCAAATCCATAAAGTAGCACAAATAAACACGCATGATTTTGGAAGAAATACAAACAAACAATCAAGTTTACAGGCGTGCTTTCTCGCTGAGAGGTAGACGAGGAGCTCAACACCAATTTCACATCTGTGCAATAAATATGCAGCAGCTGGTCGTGCACTGATTGGAAACTCGAATATTGAACGTGCAGCTATTTACTGAAGTCAAGCGAGAGCGATGGTGTCTGAAACCAGATTTAAAGAGTTGTGTGAAGGTTCAAAACGTTGTGATGTGTTCTAGTTTGGACAAAACCAGGACAGTGACTCCTCTGCGTGCCAGATCAACAGGGTGCATTTACTTCCTGAAACCATGGTTACCTGGCAACTATGGTGAAAACAGGACTTTCAGAAATCACTGCACTCAGCTAAAAAAACTGTAGAACCCACGAAAAACAAAAACTTTGTTTTTTTTGTGCAGATTACAGGCGAACTTTATGCCACTTGTTGTGCGAACATATGCTAACAATCTCCTCGCTCTGATTTATTCAACGCATGGAAAGTGATTCTCTCATCCAGCGCTCTGCAAAATACCAAATAAGTGTAGATTTAAAACTGCTCTTCTTCAAAGAGTCAATTTATTCAAGATAAATATAATTCTTTAATTTAACTTAAAAAAAAATTTTTAAATAGTAACTTTGGTCGCATTGAAAACAATCCTGTTTTCTTGGTCAAGTGATGGGGGAGAGGTAAAGGTCCATATAACTTCTGATTTAGATAAACACAATTTCCTCAGTATAAATCCATTAATGCATGCACAAATGTCTCCCCAAAGACACACAAGCACACCGTCCACACACACACACACACACACACACACACACACACACACACACACACACGACACAGGTCTTGAGATAAGGCTGACCGGTGGTAATTGTGGTCTCTATTACAGTAAATGCTGTTCTGTAAACCACAGTAAATTACATCCAGATGGGAGATTAAAGCTTGCTGGGTAGATGGCTGCCCCGAGCACCACCGCTCCTCCTCCTCCTCCTCCTCCTCCTCCTCTGCAGGAGGAAGGAGAAATCCATATTTCCTGATTGCGATTGCGACTCTCCCCTGGGCCGGGGCATTACAACTGGAGAGAAATACCACAACAACCGGGACTTTACAACTACAGAGAAATACCACAACAACGCAGAACAGGAGCCCCCCCTCCCTCGTCGGTCAGCAGGTCACTACAACTGCCTCACATGCAGACACCTGAACTGGAATCATGTGCCGAAGACAGATGTAAGGCGGGACTCGACTCTTTAATGTTCAAGCGTCCATAAACCGAGCCGCACCTTCGATTCTGAGAGACATTTCGGACACCTCCTGCTCACGAAACTCCATTAAAACAACTGGAAATGTGATGTCAAACCACTTGACTAAACATGAACCCCAGTGAAAAAAACATGAACACAAACACAGTCACACGTGTGTTGTACAGATGGCCAGTCTCAAGTATTGTTTTGCTGCTGGTGATGATGTAAAGGAAACACCTGCGTAACGTCACGTCCTCACAGACACAAATGCAGAAGTTGAGGTTCACCGCCTTCTTTTCTTTTTCTTTTTTTTGCTCGCTCTGAGACACGAGGAACATGCTTTACTGGTGAAGTGATGAGTCTGACTGTCTGGAAAAGTCTAATGAGTTGGAGGCAAGAGGTTTTTTTTTAAAAAAAATTTCCAATATCTAATTTCAATGCTTTCATTCCGGTAAAATTCAGCCTTTAAAAACAGATTGCATTATTTCTAACCAATGAGGCTTATAATCTTTCTCCTTGAATGATCTTCTTAAAATTATTTAGATGACGAGCTGAATTCAGAGTCGTGCAGCTGTGTGCCTCCATCACTCCAGAGCTTCTCCCTGCTGACTAATCCCAGTCAGGTTCGGCTCTGTTGATGCAAGATTTCACCTGCATTTTCGCACTCATGCACACAATGGCTGTGACAATAAAGGAGAGGCATTGTACAGAGAGCATTCCTAAGGTTTTGATGCAACTTGGGCAACGTTGTCAAATGGGCAGGAGGCAACAGGTAGTGTAGATTTTGGCAAAGCCCTTAGAGCAGGATCTGAGCAGCGATATTCACACTGCGGCGGCTTAAACACAGAAACACACACAGGCTGTGGACACAATATGTAGTTTATATAAAGCGGAAGTACACATGGCAGTGAATAAGAGGAATGGAGCCTCAAAGAACGTGTGCAAAATACCTGGTTATCAGTTACATCATATTGTCCAGTGGAAAGCTTTGGTTCGAGGGTGACCAAGAGGCCACTATTGTTCAGAAGGGAAACCCAGGTGCTTCCACTCTCAGCCAAAGGCCAGGCTGCATAAATCCGAGCAGGTCAAGAGAACGAACCGCTGTACATGTCAACACAGTCGGGACTACATGGATTCTATCAGCTGCTGTATTGATTTATGAGAAATCCCAATTTACGATTTAATGAAAACTGTATTTACTGTAATGCTGTGGTGCATGATTTGTATGCTCAGCAGTCCTCACAGCACCATATTTACTCTAACACTGTTTCTAAATTCAACTAGCTAACAGCTAACTTATAGTACACCAATGGTTCTCAACATGGGGGTTTGGGAGCCCCAGAGGAGGTAGTGGGAGGTGGGTGCAGCCAAGTTACAGCAACTATTGTTTAACAGCTCTGGCAGTGAACCTTTGCTGGATGTCTCTCTTCCATCATGTCTCCTGTCTGTATGTTACCCCATCGCCACCCAATGTGTTAAAACAATCAATAGGGCAGTGAGGTGATTAGCAGAGTAGAGCCAGTCTTCTTTACTGTGACTTGGCCATTCTATCTTTTTTTTTTTTTTAAAAAACACTGGGGGCAACCATTCTTCTATTTAACTTGCAGCGACCTACTGATACGACGCCGCTGTAGGTAGACACGGCTTCACCGCGCTCACATGCATCGAACTACGCTGTTAATCCCTCGCAGTCCGGCAGGAACATTAAAAAGTTAACCCCACCCTCGTCTTGGCCGCTCCGCAGCAGACATGAGTGACCGCATGAGTCACAGGGCTGCTGACAGCAACTCCAGCTGTGACAGTTATGAGAAATAACCATTATTACATATTTAAGGGAAGAGAATCCCTATAAAACAGCGTTCCCAACCACTTGGCCAAAGTCCACGTTCTCCACATTGGTGAGCCAGTCTGAGGGTTTCAAGTAGCTGGACTAGAAAAGAGCTCATGTTTGAGTGTTGTTGGTGAGGTGTTTGGTTTAAGTTGTTTGCAGTAAAAACCGAACAAATCTTTTAATACGAAGCGGCTACTGTGGAGATAAAGAAGCCTCAGGGTTTAGATCCTCCCAGGCTGTATGTGATCTGACAGATTGGATGTTGAATCTCAGGACTGTGCTGTTTACATTTGCCATCACTCTTCGGGGCAGCAGGGGGCATTTAACCTGCTACATGTTGAGGGCCCTGGATTTTGTCACTCCTGTTTTGACTAAGCAGGCCATGAGCTGATTATGAGGATTAGAGGAAATGTGGTGATCCCATGCCTCTCCCACTCACTCTCAACTTAGCAACAGCTGCAAAGTCTCCGGTTTGAGAATCTGGTGGAGGTTTTTTTTTTTTTTTCCCCCCCCGACCCTGAGAGACCGGCTGCAGCACTCCTATATGTGGCCTTGCATCCTGATTCAATAGGCGGCAGCAGCAGTGTGTGAAGTGTGACAGCGGCTGTGAATGGACAGTAAAGGAACGGTCGGGTTTTTCATTAAACAGGAGCGCAATCGGAGATAACTGCCAGGCTGCAGCCACCTCGGGAGGGGAAATCAGAGACTGAATAGGTTCAAGAGCCTGGAGCATTAGGTGGCACAACTCCCGCTGTCCAATGGCACATCCTCTTACAAGTATTTCTGGCACAACACAGGCCTTTGAATGAGACCTCACTCCAGTTTCAACTTTGCCCTGTCCTGGCAGATTTTCATTAAGAGACTAAAAGGTAATGCCAGGCAACAGAGAACAGACCAGCTTTGTACTGATCCACTGTTGCCTGACAGTGATATGACTGGCCCTGAAATTAAGTCTCATTTGATTTCTGCACGCATACACCGGATCCTCTTCGTCAGTGTCATTCCTGACACTGCCAGTACCCATTAAACATGCAGATTTAGCCTCTGTTAGGACAAAGCAAGACAGGTGCAGATGAAAAGACACTGTCAACATGTTCCCTCTGCTCTGGCAAAGTTTGGCTAAAAACACAGACATTACCATTCAGATGTTTATTGAAGATTCCACATTTAGAGAATGTCTCACCAACATGGCAATCAGAATGTTTCCTTTGTGGAAATGTAAACTGTGAAAAAAAGAGAGCTGGCCATACTAGAGTGGGAACAATCCATGTCTGCGAAACTTGCTTTTAAACTATGATGCGGCTGTAATTATGAGCTTAGTGCGGTTGGCCAAATATAACAGTGAGTCACTTTGCATCATGTGCTCCACAGGGAGAGTGATGCAGTTTGTCACGTTCCATCTTATGAATGAACCGAGCTGGATGGCGCTCATTCAAAGCGCTATGAAAGATTCAAAGCGCAGTGGGTCGTTAGCGCTTCGATTCTGTGTTGCAGGCACATTATTTAACATCATGTCAACAGAAAATGAACCAATCTGCTTTGTGTGGATAGTAGGCAAATCCAGCATCTTAACCTAAGTCTTATTTTGCATTGGCACAACAGCCCGCACCCTGAGTTTCTGTGCGTAAAAGTGTCCTACCTGAGCAGGTGAGAGCAGCAGATAAAGCGCCACCACAGTCTCGATGACAAAACCGACTTTCATTTCGTGTTCTCTGCGCACGGAGAAGGGATGATGGCTCCAGATGCACTAAATCCTCAACAAAAAAAATCCAAAAAAAAGTCCCCCAAACTTCTTAAAAAAGGAAAAAGATGCTGACCGGGAATTTCCAAGTCATCTGCCCCCGTTTTTTCTTCAGTAATGCTGAGACTGTGCGGAGTCACGTAGCTCCGCCGCCGCCGCGTGTAACCTGATGAAGTAGATTGTGCTTACTAATGAATAAGGCCCCGGAGGCGAAGTGGAGGTGGTGAGGCAATCAAATAATACTGGTAAAGAGGTTGTTTTCTGTTTGTTTTAAATATTCACATTCACTTCTAAAAAGTCTGAGCACAATGCGTAAAACAGTCTGCAGGGTGAAGGAGGTGCAGCCACTTTTGACAATTCAGTGTTAAAAAAAAAAAAAAAAAAAAGTAAGAAAGCAGCGTGTTCAGTCCAAAGTCTTCAAGTGAGGATCCGTTTGCATGAAGCTGCACCGACAGTCTTCAGTCCTGCTCTGAGCTCCACACGGCAGAAAGAACCACTTGCGTCTAATTGCCCCACTACCTTTTCACAAGCTGACCATTTAAATCTCCTCCCCTTCTCTGTCTTCCTCTCTGCTCCGCTGCTCCTTTCTTCTCAGAACTCAAGTGATGAGACTTTACAGCCCCTCTGAGCTGCTGTATTTGATGGTAATTTATGTGATGCTGTAAATGCTTATCATAGCGCTGGTGACACTGCTGCTGATGCTTTATTTGTGAGTCCCAGACTATACACCACAGGTGATTTACACAGCGGAGTATACACAAAGCTGCCGAGAGACGTCTTCTGAGTACTTCTGTGAGAGCTATTCAGGCAAGGTAAACATTTAGAGATCTTCTTCACTGCTGACATGCGTGGTATACTCATTGCTGGCCCAGGGGAGCGCAGAGATTTTCCTCTGAGGCTTTAGTATTTAGTCAAGTTTGCAGAGACAGAAAGGAAGATTCCATTACTGTTGACACATAGGTTTAGTCTTCAGTGTGGGACTTCTATGTTTGCAGAAACCCTGGAACGAAAGGATTCCTTGTGGGCTTCCACACATTCCTTCGACAGTGCTGAATAGCTGCACTGCCTCTTGCTATTGAACAGACCACACTCAGGAGTGTGGTGTGTCTAAACATCTCAGACACTCCAACACCCCCGCCCCATTACCAGATTTGCCAGAGCATCAGTAAGTGCAAACAATCAGACATGATGAAAGACATTTCCTCTAATTACGCTGGGCGATATCACAGTTGTCTTCTCCTAAATTGTATCTCTTCACGGCGATGATGGATGATCTCTGAAAATCAGGGAGCGGACAGAATAGAAGCAAAGCAAACTGATTCTTCAGGGAGCTGGACTCCACAATTATTTTTGTTTTAGTCCTGCTCTGCTGCTACTCTATGTGCTGCTATTGTCTGGATAGTGCACTTTTTTTATAATAATATTCATCGTCTTTTTCTGACTGTCTAATTATCCGTCTTATTGTTGCAATTTTGCAAGTGCAGATAAACCAAAGATGGCCCAGAAGCAGTTTCTCCCTCTTAAGTTGTGAAATTGATACCTCCACTTTTAGAAAAAGGCTTATGTAACGCTATAATTATATGGTGCAAGTGAGTTTCATGTTTTGTTTCAAAGATATTTTTAATAGAAGCGCTAAAGACCATTGCCTCTCCTCCCTGCTGCAGCAGCCGCACAGACTCTGTTCGCCCATAGGACAGACACAGACTCTCACCAGCGTCTCGCCATCTGCTCAGCAATCCGTCTGTGTTTTTAAAGGTGCGCCATCTGATAGGACCTAATAAGATCACTCAAATTGTTAGCACTATAAATACATGCTGATAAGACAAGCTAACCTGGTTGGAGTGATAATGCGGGCTCCTCCGGGCGAGACCAATCTCTCTGCTGTCAGATCGTGAAGCAACCTTGAGGCCCTCACTGCTTTTGCTAAGACCACAAAGCTCGATCAACACGCCTCGTTCTGTGTCAAACAATGTGTTTGAACAGGAAAAAGTGTCGTTCCTACTGAGATTTAAACATGTATTCTGAAGGGGATCCGTTTAAATGATGCCTCTTTAATGAAGTCAGGTTTTAAAAAGAGGGAGGCTTCTGTTTCACACTGTGCAGACAGATGGGCTCGTTATGATCAAGGATTTAAAAAATAAAAAGGATTCGTTCATGAATATAAAAACAGTAGTAACACAGAAACACAGAGACCAAAATGTCAGCTCCCCTCTAATTGGGTTTTGCGATGAGGCTTTTTGACTGAGGGAGGGTCAGCCGGTCGAACAAATAAGACCCTTCTAGTCTCTTGATGTCGTGAGGACCAAATAGGTGGCTCTCAGTGAGCTGTAGTGCAAAGGTAAGTAACATTTCCCTTTTGCTGTTGACCCCTCATTTTCCCAGATTGCAGAGCAAAAGGTAAACAGATGAACAACATTAATGATGTCCATTCATCATTGTTGGGGCGGCTTTGGTTTCCTCCACAGTGGGGCCTTTAAGGGGACGGTGGAGAGCCCCTTACTTTGAAGGATCTCATTAACATTAGTTAGAGGCCTACAGGGAGACCAGCGTTTCTGCTAAAGACAGAAGTTAGTCATTGTCACTGTAAATCTCATAAATTATCCCAATGTCTGTGGATCACATTTGATTTAAAGGCTCAAAACTGCGCGTTCTGCTGAGCACAGATGAAAAACGCATGAGGCCGGAGCCTGAACAGAAGCATTGTAAGAGATGATGTAATATGACTTTACTCATGATGGACCACCTGGACAGTGGAGCCAAACAGGATACGGCAATATTTGTCACTAAAACCCGTTCTTCCTGTCGTTAATTAGCCGTGACGAACCGTGAATGTTTTGTGCCTGAACCAACTGTGTCATTGTGAAGACAAACTATATTTGAAAGAGCTGGTAAATAGGAAGTGCTTCAGCTGTGGGTAAAAAGCTGCTTACATGTTCCTAAGGTGATTATATCACAACAACTTCTTTCATTTCCAACATGTCAAATCCTGTTTACGCGTCCGTTGCTGCATTGACATATTTTTGTCTCAGACATATATTTGTTCCAAGGTTGTCAGGTGTCATCCTGTTTTCATGCCCGGCCTGCTCTCGTGTGAGCATTGTTCCATGTTTTTTAGGAAACCAGTCAACCTGTTAACAGACAAATGGAAGTTATTTTAGTCTGGATGTCTCATGAATCAGTCGTTGCAGAAATCTCCAGACGCTGTTTAACTGTTTAACAGCTGTGTCTTGGACATGATATCGTCTGCTGGCTGTGGCGAACTCGGGCTGAATGAGAATTTAATTCTTGATGTCAGCAGAAATTACGGCTCCATTTATTCTATTCAATTTAAGGAGCAATTATCGCAAAGCATGCAGCATTTAATCAATCATGAGCAAAATGGGAGGAATGATGAGGCCGAGAAAAAGAGCTAAAACACTTCTGTTATTACACAACGCTGACAATCTGGGTGATAATCTCATGTGCTCTCTTTATGAGATCTATTTAGGAAGACTAACAACACTCCTACCTGCACCTACAAAGAAGTTTTCTAGTTTAAACAGATGTGAAAAGGTGAAGATTTGTGGTTTCCTTGCTGGTTGAGAACTTGTTGCAGCACCTAACTTCCTCCCAGAGACATGTTATCCTCAAAATGTTGCTTGTGAATGAAATTCAATCAGTGCGGCACATTTAAAATAATAAGCCTTTATTTTTTCCAACAGAAAGACTTGCTCATACGCGCTAACCTCCGCAGACAGACGGGAGCTCGGCAGCAACAGCAGCAGCAGCAGCTCTGAAAGGAAACTGAGTGTTTGTCTAAGATAAAATTTCATCACCTCCAGAAGCTGCGGGGGGAAAGGGGCTAGCGGTAATACAGAAAGGAGAAAACAACACTGCGAGTGAGTTATCATGGCTTCTGTCATTGCCAGTTGTAAAAGCTGTTAGCTTTATAAATGAAGAGCAAGCGGTGCAAACTCTGCGGAAGTGGTCCCGCAGTCAGAGAGCAGGTTATAACTCAGGCCTGCAGTGATACTCTAAACTCCATTAAGAGGTCCCATATGTGGAGCACATTCATGAGTTCATGGGTTGACGCTGTTGGTGGTGGTTCAGTCGGAGCCATTAAACAGATAAATGAGATGTTTTTAACATCTCTCTCATGTTAAAACACTGTGTTCACATAATAAGGCCAACATTATGTTTAATGTAAATATAATGTGCACTTCTGCAGCAGGTGTAGCGCTGCAAGCCTCAGACTCCTCTGTAAACACGCTCTCCTGTAAACTTACAGGATTTTGTTTTCCAGCTATCTGACATGTTAGTAAAAGAGATAAAGGAGGCAAAGGCTAATGGAATATAGCCTTTAATAGTAAATGTTGCGTTGAGATTGATTGGTTAGGAGATTAGATTTATTCCTAGAAGTGGGAGACACTTAAGTAAACATGAATTCAATCACCCAGCGAGATTTACTGGACTGCACTGAGCGCCGCGGTTTATTTTTTCAGGGTACCGGGTGTGTTTTTTTTAAACCTCAAATTAGTTTATCCCCCTCAAGGTCTATGTGCAAGAGTTTTAAAAGTGTTTCCTCAGAAAACACACACATGTCAGCCGCATTACTAAAGTAAACCTCGGTAACCTGACAGTAGCTGTGTAATATTCATGCAATTAGTACAGCAATGCCATTCACGTTAACGGTTTAATATGCTCCGATGAACATTTCTTTAGCAACGCGAGCTTAAATGAAACACACGTTCTGATGTTCGCTCTCTAAATGCCTCCAAAAGCGAGAAGAAAGACTGCGTGTCACATGTGCAGCCATGTGGATGCAAATAGGATCTAGAACATGCACTCACAGCATTATTTCTAGAGCAGCCACTCTGACCAGTTGGGCTTTATTTTCGTGCGCTGGTGGCGACTCATTACCTTAACGAAATGGAAATAATTGAAACAAACGACCCAACCCAAACGCTCTCTGCAATGTCCGACTGCACATTTCACCGCGGGCACCTTTATTGGAAGAATACATGAACATTTTGGGACGTACACTTGTTTATTTCTTGCTGAGAGTTAGAATAGACAAACAGTACCACCCATGTGTCTGCATAGTTAGCATGCAGATATCTACAGCCAGCAGCCTGTTAGCTTAGATTGGCATAAAGACTGGAAACATCTGGTGACGACGTTCATCTTCTCAGTAATTAACATGTAATAACTTGTTTGTTTAATCCACACAGAAACCCTCACCAAATTTAACTACAACAATATCGTTTTCCCAAGATGTCGAAATATTCATCTAACAAGACTGGATTTGTTTAAAGGAATTATTCAGATAGATAATTAGGATTGCATAAGGCATAATCTTTGGATTATTAGAAGTTCTAGTGACCCACCTTCTGCATTTGATACGAATAAACCCACAGAGACGCATTTATTAAAACAGCGACTTAAAGGTCTAAAATGGCAGGAATCACAAGAGG